ATTGGAAATGGTTTGAAAGCAAGTGATTCTTTTTTTAGTTAGGAATTCTTTTATACTAAAACTCACAAAAGAGAAACGGAAGTAAATTAAGTTCATATTTCAGATTTTTACCGCAAAGTGTACGGAGCGTTTACAAACCTAAAACGTGGTTTCCTAACCCCTGTTTCATGACGAACAACATATTTTATCGCAGTTACACAGTCGTTTGTTTACCAACTGATATGAAAGAAAGAGAACAGAGTATTGAGCCGGCGGGTTGCATAAGAGGCGGGCTGGCTGAGCAACTACAAGCGTCTCTGTGGGACTGCTGGATGGCCGACCAAGTGGGGGGAGTCCCCGGAGGGAGTCCCCTGCAAATGCGTGAGAAAAGATTTCGAAACAGAACGCAATAATTTTGTTTGACAAATTTGTTGATTTTATTACACATTTAAAATTAAATATTTAATTAAAGTTGTAATTATTGTTTTAGAAGACACAATAATCGAACGAGTAGCGGCTCTGATGATTTTTGATACTGACCGAGGGGTTTCCTGGTTTGTCGCGGTCTCCCCCCCCCCCAGGAAAATGTCCGGTATCATCGCCTCCTTCCACATTTTATCATAATTAATTAATCGCTCTACGATTTGAAGATAGCGTCATTAAATATTTCTATAACAAAAACACAATTCTGTGGGCCGCGGGTTACGGATTCCTAATTAGCGGCAATCCCTGGTGTTCTAAATTACGTACATATTACCCATCTCCCCCGCGCATGCTACTCGTACAGCCCATCAGGTCACCTGCGCTCTCATAGTCACGCCACTTACGCCGCTCACAAAATGGCAACTCGACTGCTTTCATTCCGTGTCCATGGCAACGACAGAAAACTTCCGCCTCACGTTCGGCAGTCACGAATGACAGCAGAATGTCAGTAACCGGAGGTGGCCCATCACTTCGTCGTCCGCGTAAGAGACCACAGCTCGCATTCATAACATTTCATTTCGCCTGTTCGTGCTTAGAAATGCGCCCAAATCTGATTCTGTGTGTTCAGTTTCCTAAAACAAACAGCGTTGTCTGGCCCCCTCGCCCAGGGCCCACAGTTCTGAGAATACAAAATTCTTGGGACCATTTGCCCGAATTTAAACCCGGCTAAATTGTCACAGGTTTATCACGCGCTGATGTGTAATCTCCAACCCCCGTCCTGGGACAGCCCCAACTATTTTCAGTCGGTCAGAAACCAAGACCGAGACATTTGATTGCGAAGTCGCCGGAGCAGTTCAAGATACTGACGGAAGATGGCGCAAGACTTCATTCGGCGACGTTCTGTTTTATCGAGCGAGCAGTGCGCTGAACACACAAAAACAAAAGAACTGTAACAGCTTTCACGCATGTTATGCTTTGATAAACAACATCAAGGCCGAATGGTTGGCTTCGCTGCTCCATATTCGATCCGTCCCCGGTCCGATTCTTGGCCCAGAGACCGGCTCTGCTCACTGAGATTTATCGTAGTCCAGGTAAATGTCGACTAGTGTATTAAATTAGGCCACGATCACTTCCTTCCATATCCCGTATAAACAAAACTTCAGAATGCGTTGACAATTGTCGGTAAGACGCTGCTAACTTGGAAATGCAGTACAGTGCAGCCAACCCAACTATGGTACAGA